CCCCCTCCCCTCCTCTTCCCCCTGGAAGGAGAGAAGGACAGAGATGAGAACATCATTCTCAGTCAGCTCTGCTATACCATATTCAAGGTCTCTGATCTTGGGGTAGTGCAACATTTTCCTCATATAGTTCAGACATCAATTTCTAGCCATGGTAGGTTAGAATAAATCAAACTCTGATTGTATCCCTCTTTAATTATGGAATATAGTTTGTCTAATACTGGGAAGTGAGAAGAAAATGTTTCTGAGAAAATCCCTGGTTTATGTGAGAAAGTAAAATGAAGCTGCCTAGAGATTAAGAAAGTTTGAGGTGATCAGAATAAGGTTGAATTGTTATACACAGTCCACACTGTTTACAAAAGAATTGATATGAGACTAATATGTTCTTACAGATGAGAAAACAAATCATGTTCTGGGCTGCATCAAAAGAAGTGTGGCAACAGAGCCGATTTGCTCTCTCTCATGCCCAAAAGAAACAAGCAAATAAGAATCAAATATCTTCTAGCCTTTAAGAAAATTTTTCAAAATAAGTAAAGATATGTAAATAAAGGTGTTTCATAATGATTTACAGATTTGGTTGACATTTATGAGATGCTTCAACTACCCAGTGAAGGATAATACGATCAAGCTTACAGCTGTGTGGTTCACCCTGTCTTTTGGGTAAGAGTGGTTGAGATGAAACCATTTTTTATAGTCTTGACAGATATAAAAATCATTTGCATGTACATTTCTGACACTATGATCATCTGTTTTATTCAGTATCTTTCCACAAAATGTTGTATTTGTCAGTCTGTTCTTGGTTGCAAACTTGACCAATTAGGAATACCTCCTTTGAAAAATTGACATCTTCTGGTGTCAGCATCTTCCAAAAATTTTATATTATGGAGGATTTTATTCTGATGGAGCAACAGCTCCGTCACATAGGTGGTCAAAGGAGCTGCTCATTCACACCTGGCACAGATTTCTGAATGAGTAAGATTGGTGCCTGAAGTTCTTCTGTTTTTTCACAGCTACTATGGCTTATCTGTCTGGTTTCCTGATGTCATTAAACATCTGCAGTCAGATGAGTATGCATCCCGAGTGAAACATTTCCGCAACGAGGAGGTCTCACATTTCGTCTTCAACTTCACACTGGAAAATCAGATTCACAGCAATGGAGAATACATCAATGACAGGTTTAGAGGTTTTTTAAGTATCTTGGCTTAGCTGGAATAAACAGATGCATGCTTTAAAGCTCATCTTAATAACCCAGTTTTTTCTATGAGGTAATGATAGATGGTTTTGTTACCTCTCAGTGAATATTTATTTCTGTTCTTAACTTCTTATGACTCATGAGCATGGGGAGAAATGTACATGCTCTCGTGGTTCCTGTGTGAGGATCTGCGATGCAAACCCAGCTTACTTGTCATCCTGCAAAACAGACCAAAAAGTCTACGTCAATTTTACTTCCTTTCACAGTGGGATTCAAAGGTTTTCAGATCCAACATATGCAGAATATTGTAGGGGGCTGGGCAAAGATGTACTTTCATCTCTGTTGCTGGTTCTTTTTTTATTGATGAAAGGCACTTCTGTGAAATGGCTGAACATGTGGAGGTTAGGATCTTATCACAGAAAAATGAAAGCTAAACATTACTGTAAACCAATAAAAAGCATGAACAGCTCTGAAATGGGAAACAACATTCTGACAATGACTTCTGTGATTTTTTTAGCCAAAGGCAAATATATTAAGGCTATATCTGGACTCACAAATAACTAGATAACTTAGGGGAAAATTAAACACATCTGGTTTAGGTATCTGGTTTCTATTAAGAACTGTACAGAACAACCATATGAATGGTCTGCTGGAAGTCATGATATTAAGAAATCATTATTTCCGTAGGAAAATCTATATGTAAGTGAATAAAATTAATTATTTTGTGATGATTTAGCAGTAGTAATAGAGCTTGGGTTTTGACACAGTTAAAGGTTTCTGCATTGAAGAAAAAAACAACAGTTATTTAATTTTTAAACTAGCCATAACTTCCAAGTCCCACTCCTTTCCAGAATGCAGATGTTCTAAAATCAGTGTCAGTAACTGAGGTTGTATCAATTTAAACAGAATATTATTGTAAAGCACTATATATAACATTAATTTATGCTAAATCAGTAAATTACTCTTTCAAATGTGTAAATTTAATATGCCTCTAACAGTTATTTGGGATTCACAAAACATTTCCCAAGAGGCATGAACCCATTTGCTATCCTTCCTTCATAAATGTTTCAATACCCTACTCACCCTCAATCTCACTGTTTCCTTCAAGTTCTTTCTTAATGAGAAGATCCATCAATACCTGACTTTTTTGACTGTTGGGTTTTAATTCAAATCATTATGACACCAATTTTAATGTAGTCACATACTTCCTGTCCAAAGGTAAAAAGTGCTTCAGAAGAATGTAGAATGTGTAATCTGTCAGTTCTGTTTCAATTGACTAATCTGATCACTATATTTTCTTTGTTCTCCTCTGGAACTAGTCTACATTTTAGATTGGAAAGTGCTGTATGAAAAATGATAATGAGTAACTCCAGCCTGATTTTAATCAGACTGTCACAAATGAGAAATGATATAGTAACTAAAACTAATGGACTGAAAACACTATTCCTCTGACCGATACAAAAAGAGAATTCATTAGTTAGTAAGCCACTTACTGTGATAAATACTACTAGCTTTTTCTCTCCCTTCTCATAAAGATGTGGTTCCAACAAATTTATTCCTGGGAAAGTTTAATTCCTGCTCCTTTGTAGGTAGCATATTTTTTGTGTTCCTATTCCTGCTATTACTCTTCTTATAAGAAAAATGCTTAGCTAGTGACACCAGGTTTGACTAGAATAAAGACAGGTATGCATTTGGAAGGAAAAACTGCCCTTTTTCCCACACCTTCATGTGAAATAAAAGACATCATGAAAATAATGATGCATTTCCACGTCTTTGTTGTGGTTGCTGCTGTTAACATAATGTTATTTGGTAGAATTTTACTAAAAAATTCTTATTCAATAAAGCATTGTTTTAATCTAGTGACATTGAGATAGAAAGTTACTGTATGTAATACAATTTGTCATTGACTTTGTCTATTAATCTTTTGATAAAACCTTGTGTTAAATGAGTGTCTGTAGGAAGAAGGATGTTCAGAAATTTTAAAAAAGCTACCAGCAAATTCCTTATGGCAGCTTTAATTACACAGTAATTATAACTGAAATAGCATCCATAGGCAAAGGATTAATGAGAACATACATATAGTTAGATGTCTAGCTCTGTAACTGGCAATGTAACTTTTTATTCATGTTATAACCATTTTGTGAAAACAACTTTCAGCACCAGTATGTTTTGCATTTGAGCCTAACTAGTGTGTTCCTCTGACAAATCAAGATTATTTTTAAACTTTTTTCTTTTCAGCTTCTTGGTATTAGTCTGTGCTTGTTTACTCCCAGGGACTGAATATCTGAAGCATTAACTCCTTGTTTACAGGTGTATTGTCAAATTATTAGCAACTGTGATTTTACAAGGCTGCTTCATGGATGTCATAACATTGGTTCTGATTGATGATTAAAGACAAGTAACAACAGAAATATTATCAAATAAATCACATTACCAGTTTGGTCCAGTAACTATGTGGAACTATATGTGTTACTAATTCTTCTTCTGAACAATAGTATTCTAGAATTAACTAATCATTAATCATAACTGTAAAATGCATCAAAGGAATCATTGTTACTGGGTTTGAGATTTTTTTAGATCGAAATAGCTCTATTTGTTTTTATTCAAAACTATGAAGGTAGATTGACAGCAATTCTTTGTATTGGGCAGGTTTATTATGATGAAGTTTAAATCAGTAACCTTTGAAGATTCACTCTTTAAGAACTGTGTTTTTGAAGACATTACTTCACTGAACACATACTTCAGGAATTGTACTTTTGTGAACACCACCTTCTACAACACAGGTATGAGAAAGAGCCTCAAATGCCCATTGGTCATCTGCATGTCCTCATCTTATATTGATTATTTCTGGTTTTCTAATAATACATACAAGAAGTCCTCCTGTAAGTCATAATAATATATAAAAAGCTGCCAGCTTAAGCAGCCAGCTTGCTACAAGAGATAAGTGAAAGTATTTCACTGCACAAGAGATGGTGCAGGCCTAATATTGACTCAGATAATAAATTATTTATTTTATTCACATAATAAAAGACCTTTTTTTTAATCTTTGATATCAACTATCTTTAAAGACAGTCAGTCTGGAGAGAAGAAAATACATTTATTATTTTACTGGTAGATTTAACTACTGTATTTTTATATCGTATAAAAGGGACTGGTGAAATATGTTGTTCACTGTCCTTGCTGTGGCAGGGGAATCTGAATTTAGGATTCAAATTACCTAGTCTTTAATCATTCCCAATCTCCTAAGTAACGTGAAATCCATATTTTCATATGTTTCAACAGAAGAATTTCTTTTCCTCCAGATTAATAAAACATAACTGAAAGTAGAACATGGCCAACTAAGCTTGTTGGAAAGATGGGGCACTTCTTCCCACTTTCCTGTAACTACAGCAGTCATAACAGTAATAGACCTAGGTTTCAGAGCAAGCAAAGACCTTTATGTGGAAGGAAGGTTCAGGTTTATAAGGCTGACAAGAGGAACAGGAAAAAAAAAGATTGGTACTGGCAGAAAAATTAACTACAAAGAGTAAGTAACTCATCCATGGACAAGCTGGAGACCATGAGGACTTCTCAGAAACGAAAATGAGTTTAAACTGAATTCCACAGGAATATTTCACTTAAAGGAAATCAAACCAAATTGAACACAATGGACAGTCTCATCAGGCCTGATACTGATACAGGAAATAGGCCTGATACTGAGAAAGACAGAGTCAAAGAAACTTGTGAATCCCTAGTACATTTTGTGCAAGACCAGCTGGTGCTGAAAGGCCTTAACCAAATACAATCCAAGCAGGGTAAATTACAGTGGTATAACTTCCTATTTCCAGGCTTTAGCTGGTCCTTTTCAAGAGCTTTGAAAATTTTCCTGGTAAGAGAAAAAACTATCAAAATTAACAGCAGTAACTAGTCCCCTTTTTGCAAAGCTGTGAAAGCTCCAAGTTGTCATTGCAGTTGCTTGAAGTTGAAATGTTTTTAATCAAAAGTTGCATATGGAGTTGGCTGCTAGCTGAAACAATTCTTTTTCTTCTTTCCACAGATCTCGAGCAGTATAAATTTGTTGACAGTGAATTGATAAATTGCACATTTTTTCACATCAGGACAGGATGCCAGATTTCTTTTGATGATGACTACAGTGCCTACTGGATCTACTTTGTTAATTTCCTTGGAACTTTGGCAGTGTTACCAGGAAATATTGTGTCCGCCCTCCTGATGGATAGAATAGGACGGTTAACGATGCTAGGTATGGGATTCACTTTGGTACAGGGAATGTAAAAAGTAACACATCCTCTTTTCAAGGAATTTGGCTCAGAGAATTGGAAAACATTCTCTCTGCAGATGAATCATTTATGTGGCATCATAAGTACTGTTTTTAAAAGCCCCCAGTTTAGAAACTCTAGGGAAAAAAGGCATCTGCAGCCACCTCTACTTGCTCATCCACACAGATATTACAAGACCATAATCTAGGCATTTAGAATGTGATTTTGGAGACTGGTGACTGGTGGTTTATCTCTGCTCCAGCTGAAAGGAAAGCAAAGTATGCACAGGTGACCCTCAGCTTGTGGAGCAGCTCCTGGAAAGTATCAGCTGTTCTTTCTATGTTATCGATTTTGCATAGGAAGACAGTTGAAAGTTATCTCCTGTGGATTGTCAAAAATGAGAAATTTGTTTTCAATTTAATTGAGTAACTATGAGGTAGTTCATCATCTTAATTTTCTAGGGCAGTATCTCTATATAAATACAATAAAATAAATATGGTGTTTTTATTATAATACATGAACAGGTTTCATCTACTTGCAAAAGATGATGAGCAAAGAATAATGTGAGGGAAGTTTTCCTCGGGCATCTTGCTTTGGGAATTCAAAGTGGCTTCCAGCTGAATACTTTGTGATGTATTCTGATACATGAGGAATTGTATTTTTTTCCTGCGACCTCCATCCTTCAACATTTGTCTTTCTGTCTGGCCTTACCAGTAGAGGAGGTCTCTTTGGTGTTTAATTCAAGTATTTGGGTCACTTATTTAGCTACACTATGTGCACAGAAATATTAGACAAAACAAAGGTTATTCTTTGAATACAACTCCATGTTTGCTTTATATATTTGCATCACCTGCCTTGTACCTAGGTGGTTCCATGGTTCTTTCTGGCATCAGCTGTTTCTTCCTGTGGTTTGGGACCAGTGAATCCATGATGATAGGTATGCTGTGCCTGTACAACGGCCTCACCATCTCAGCATGGAACTCTCTAGATGTCATTACTGTGGAGCTGTATCCTACAGACAGAAGGTATGTGCAGATATACCTCCCCTAACCTCAATGTACCAGAGGAAATGGCAAAGAGAAATTATTTTGTATGAGCCTTGCCAAGGTAGTGATGTTTTGAGAGGTCCAAATGAATAATTTTTCTTATGAAAAGCGAAGGGAAACAATGAGGGATTTTGCATCAAGTATCACCTAATCAGGAAAATACCATAAATGTAGTTTTATTTGAAAACAGAAGAACTAGCAGCTACTCTCATTAAAAAAACACAGATAATGAGTAATATTTCTGAAAACAATGATGGAATATTTTTGAGTTTCCCATAGTTTAACTGTATATGAAGGCAGCAGTTGGTCCAAACCAGCAATACAGCTGTATTTGTCTGTGAAATGGTGGGAATCAAGATAAAAATCATTGTCTGAACCACCCTCAGCTGCTAATCAGTCTGCCATGAATTTGTATGCAGGGCCACTTGGAGTGTACATTAAGTGGGTAAAAATTATCTTGGGCATCACTCTTGACTCTTCAGGGGTCTTGCAAGAAATGTCAGGACAATTTTCAAATCCTGCATTTCCCCTAGATGACATGGGTTGGGTTTTTTTCAGATACAGGGCACTTTTTAATCCTGACCTTATGTCATTTAATGGACTTAAGGCAGAACTGTTGAGTCATATTCTGTTTCATGGGGAGTGCAAAGATGTAAAAGCTGCATTATCTTGAATAGCCTTGAATATTTTTCCCTCCTCGCAAATCCCAAAAAAAATATGTAAAAATACCCAGATTCCTAACAAAGGACATTGTGTCCTTTCTCCTGTTGCAGTGCTAATTATTATGTCATTCACTGGATGTTTGAAATGAAGTGAAAAATATTTCCAGTTTGTAAATGCATGATGCCTTGGTGGCAAGTGTAATTTTTTGGAAAGAAGTTCCACCGTCTTTAATGTTGTCCATGAAGAGATATAGAAAAGTGTAGACTAGCTTCTCTGTATTCCTTTCATTGTCATTTTAAAATTATGTGCTTCTTCAGACAAGAAATTGATGTCCACAGCTGTAATTATATCAAATAACAATACCAGGCTATTTAGTAATCCCAAGCACTAGGCCTTTATACTAAGTGCTAGTATTTTTATTACACCGCAGGAAATTGCTCTTCCGGCAAGAATTCTTCCACCATCCAAATCCTATGATATAATTCTAATAAATATTCTGTAGAAATTACCATCTTTTGGGCATTCCTGAATGTAGCAGCCACATATGTTTTCCTAAAGTAAAGTAGTAAAGAAAAAGAATTGGAAAAGTCATTGGTGTTAACAGAAAAATAAAATCATTACTAGGAATGCTATAAAGAATGTAACTGATATTTATATATATATCTATACAGATGTTAAGGCATCTTTAGTTGTAGCTAATAGTTGTTTTTAATAGTTTCTGCTAGCTTTGGGATTATAGCAATTTCTGACTCATCTTTTCTCTAAAAATCTTTAGTATGCAGGAATAACTGTCTGGAAACAGAAACTGAATTGAAACTGAGCTGTTTTTAACAACAAATCAGAGAAATAACTTGTCTCTTTGTATTACCACTACAAAAAGGCTGGTGGGTGAATCTACCTGTGCCTGGAAAGACATTGGTGACATATGTTATATGAGACTTTTTTCCCAGAAGCTCTGATAGTGATGGAACCATGACTGCTAGTTTTTGCCATCTTGGTTATAAGCAAACTGCCAATCTGAGCTTTTTTTTTTAGACTGGAGCAAAGCTACTTCTTGTTTTGTATAACTTTTTGAAAATTTATACCTTCAGGGACTCAAATAAGTTGCTTGTGAGAATTTTTCTCTGATTTTTTTTTATCCAGACTAGCTGCAATTTAACAACCAGCACTGCTCACCTCTGATAATCCTGGGTTTCCTTCTCAGACTCCTGTGATCTCCATAACCAGGCACAGCTTGCCACAGTTTGCTAGGAATTTCCAGCTTTTCCAAGTCACTGTAGGGCTGAACAGCCTTTCTCAGCATATGTGGAACACGAAGCCTTCCTGATCCGTTTTTGCATATGAAATCCTTCCTACTTAAGATGATGCTCTCTTTTGCTACAAAGCTGCATCCAGAGTGAATCTGGTCCTGAAACTGGCTTCCAGATTCTCCTGTAAAGGGAATATAATCACAAAATCCTTGCTCACTCTGTCAGTGCTAAATACTGCTTCCTTACAGCCTTTCAGTGAAATGACCAGAAATGCACAGCAAAAGGGTAGCTGGAGGTTGGGCTCGAAGAAAGGTGGGTGGAGGGAGGTCAGCTCATGCTACCATGCACAACAGGACTGGGCAGCCCCTCCTTTTCCTCCTCCTGGAGACCAGCCAGTTGCTGAACTGCAGGGGCTTTGCTGGTGTTGTGCAGTACAATATGAAAGGTGTTTCATAAATCGTACTCTAGGAATTTAGGGATCATACTGGCTTTTTTCCAGTAGGAGTGTGGAGAACAGTTTGGCAGTCTATGTGATACAGAGCACACATTTCAGTTTCTTCTTCATCAGTTAGGGTTGCTTCAATATCTTGACAGATTTGGATTCTGTATGAATTCACACTCTTCTACATATTTACATTTTAGTTTAGTGATCCCTGGAAATGAGGTAACTACATAGTTTGTCCTACTTTCTTGTTCCAAATTTTATGCTATTTTAGGTCAGCTTTTGTTTTCACATTCTTCATAAAACCTCAGCTTGTTTGTACAACTGCTGTAATAGATATTAGAGGACATAGAGATTTCAAATGTTTCTCAGGTAGATGATGAAGTAGCGTTTAAATGGAAAATAACATAACTAATATTATAGTGTCATAAGTGGGTTTCTGTCTTCTAGATGATACTTATGAAATAATGAATAATTTTTTGATAATACAGTACCACTTTCTGAACTTTTCAATACACTACTTTTAAAAGACAGACATGATATCTGGATATAAACTAGTTATTTCCAATAAGCAAGTAAAATATCACAGCTCAAGAATGTAAATAACTTATATTTTCTTTTTTGTCTTCTCTTGTCTTTTACCTTATCTTCTTAATGGACTCTGCTGTCCATCAGGAGAGGAAATCTGTAGGCTGGAGTGTGTGACACCAAAAATTCCAGTCACTGAGCATTTTGGAAGGAACGGGCTGGAAGTGTAACTTCAATACTGCTCTAGGTGCCCAGCACTCCAGCAACATAAATCTGAAGTGCTCAGCTGAAAATATGAAAGGCATGCTTAAAGACCATTTTTTTAACTTTATGTGACTTGCTTGCTTCATATGCAAATTCTGCAACAGAATTTGGGATTTCATTCTTTCTTCTGACAGCACTCCACTCTCTTAATCATGAAACTGTTTTCTCATGTTGCAGTCCTCAGTCTTATTCACAGTGCAGCTTCCAACTTCTACAGCAGATGAGGGAAACTAAGTTTTCTTCAGTGCATCTATATTTTACCCTCAAGCCCTCTTTGTTCTCTGCACTGGCAGAGTGATGTGGAAAAAGAAATATTGTGTGATGAGGTAATTATGGCTTGCGTTGTAATGTGCGTGCCCAAGGGGCCTGCAATAACACTGCACACTTTCTCAGCTCTGCCTGTAATATAAGTAAGAATAGAAGAAAGCTTAAGTTCTCTGAAGAAGGGGCATTGAGCCATTTTTATTACTTTAAAATGCAGTTTTCATATAAATGGTACCTATCTTCTGGTGAACTTGGGAAGCATCAGCATTATAAGCCAAGATTCCCATCAGAGAGATGGTACTACAAATAACCATAACTTACACAGAAAGTGGAATAGAAATAGATCATCTCCCACATAGACAATAAATCAGATTGCATCAGATAACCAAGAATTCATCATTTTACTATGTCTATCATAGATCTGTGTTTGAATCTTGGCCAGGAATACTTAGAATTCAAGGTGAGCTATAAAATTAAGTCATCCTGTTTTGCCTTTTTTCAATGCCTCTGAAAAAATTTCGTAAGGGTTTGGCCATACTTAAGAAATATAAGACTCCTATATTCAGTTCATGATACTTAATTTTTTCACTTCTTCTTTAACCCTTAGGATCTATGCCCAGAGCAATAAATAAAATTCTGACAGTATCCTATGTCCAAGTTTGTATTGGTGTGGATGACAGAAGAGAAACTTCCTATTCTTTAGAGTCATAATAGCAGTAATTGACTTAACTGTAGATCTTCTGACAGCTATTTTCTACTCTCATCCTGTGGATATTGCTCAGCTGCCTTTTGCTGAAATGTTAATGTTTTTAAGGCATGACCTGCCACACCTATGCCTTTTGCAGTAATCCAAGGAAGAAAGGCAAATTCCACGGTTTTAATTGCACACTAAGCACTATAATTGATCAGGCCATGATACGTATTTCTGTACTAACTTTTTAAAAGAATATAAAATATTAGGACATCAGAAAATTGTCCACAGGACATTTGGAAACTCTATTTTAATGCTTTCCGTATTATCAATTCCAACAAAATTTTGTTGTAACTTATTCTTGTAAATAGCTTTGGCAAGAAAGAGAACAAATATTTTTGCTACATATTTAGTAGCACTCTGCCACAGGACAATGAAGTTTTAGATATTTTATCAGCAGTGAAGAAGTGCATCTGAAGTATTTTATGTAGGAATACAAGCACCTGGTCTAAGAAAGAACATATGTGGCAATCAGGAAACAAGCTCTTTTAATCTAAAGGCTGGGATAATCCCTCTATTTTTAACTGTTTGGACTCTTGCCATTTTTATGTGGACCTTGGATGAAAGGAAGCTAAGCATTTTTCTTTGCCCCAGCTTTCTCAGCAGCAGAAGTAAAATACATCAGGGAAAATTCCTTTTCAGTAACATCCAGCTTTCTCCTTATCCTGACATTTTTATAAAAGACGCATATATTTTTCTCCTATCAGTACTAAAATCTGTATCTGGGTTGGGTTTTTTTTAAGACAAGCCCAAACTGATTAGCCAGAATTTTCTTACTGATGTGCCTGAAAGACTTAGGTGAACTCTCTAGCTGGACAAGGAATTCTTGCTACTTACAGCTGGTCTCCCTTGAGCAGTAATGAGGATTACTCATGAATTTTTGTGCAAATGTTTGTCCAATAATTGATCAATGCAAAGAAAATTGGTGTATACATGAATGGTGTATACTTGGAATTTTTCACTTAATTTGTTCACAATGGTAAGATGATACATCATATGAATTTGATCATTTGCTGACACTCTTGCACTTCCCTCAAACATTGTAGCAGAGACTATACTATATAGCACTGCCTAACACTGCCTGACAATAGTCATATACATGTGCTATTTGCAGCATATTTATTTCCTGGCTATTTTTATTTCCCTGGATTCACAACAGTTAATTATAAAAGCCTGAATGTATACAGATTTTAAAGGGTTTGAATCCCAAACACTGTTCTAAGAAGGATGTTTAAAAAAACAAGCAGTCTGAATTTTCTACCCCTTGAGCTCCATAATGGTTTGAACACCTTGTTCCAACTATAAGTACAAACACATTCAAACACAGTATTAAAATTGAAGGGTATGAAGGCATAAGATTAAACAGTGACAATGCTTTTCAGGTGCAGGGCGCAACAACAATTTACTTAAGCCTGTTAAAATCTTATTGTTCATGCCAATTATGTGCTTATTTTAGGCAAAAGGACATGCCTGAAATCTGCTTAAAGATTAAAAGATTGAGCTTCTTCTGGGTTATTCATTTTTTAATTATCAGGACAACTAAGGGTAGCAAAATGAGCTTATTTTTTCTTACTTTTATTTGTTTATAATTTGATAACACTAATGGGATTAGACTAATAAAACCTCCTTACAATCAGCAAAATTCTGTAAGTCCATTTTACAAATAGAACTGGTTTTTCAGTGCAGAAAAAAATCCCTTAATTTTGTTCAGACAGAAGTATGTATTTGTATGTATTACAAAATGACTTTAAAACTCAGTAAAGTAATGCTGAGTACATAATCAATAATAGATCCAAAAAACAGTGGCATCTGTAGAGACCAGAACATGAAAAGAAATGGTTCAAATTGCTCAGAAAATTGTATTCAGACCACTGTCATAATAGTTGATATAAGCAGCTAACATCTGTGGAACAGCTTACCTTTATACCTAGTGTATAAAACAACACTAACCATAAGTAAAATATCCCCATATGTTTTGTGCTATTGCTTTTCTAAATATTTCCTGCCTGTATCTATCCAAATTTGTTTTAGCTGGATCTATGTATTCTTTGGGGAGTTCTGGTATCTCTGATTTTACTGAGGCTGTTGATTGACTAGGTGTCTAGTTTCTCTATGTTTTGGGGTTTTTTTCTGCTACTGTTATTTGGAGTTAAGTCTGATTTTACATCAGCATTGGCAACCAAGAAAATCATATTTATGTGCAGTCTCTGATCACAACCAGTCACCACCATAACTTTAGAAGTACTTTCTGTGCATAAATGAGGCTGATATTAGAACCATTCTGACTCTTTTCCTTTCCTTCTTCCCTTGAGTTCTTCATAAAAGCTGCAATCTCTTGTTATCCTATCACATCAGCTTGGGTTTCAAGTTTGGGTGTGATGTCTTTAACCTCTTTCTACCTGCTTGCAATACAGTCTATTTTAACAGAGTCTTTCCTCTTCAGGAACCTCAAAGACACGCATGCTTTTTGCAGCTCTCCTGTGCAGACGGACCTTGACAGGAGAGATGGGCAGGGAAGAGCTGTCTGTAACTCAGCAAAGGCAAATGCCGGGTCCTGCACCTCAGGAAGAATAACCAGTGAAGTCTGGGGACAGACCTGCTGGGCTAAGATGAGCTTTTGACTGTTTGAGCTTTGGTGACTGACTGTGGCCCCTTTCAACCTTACCCACCCCATGATTTTATGAACCCTACAACATCCATCAGTCTGGTGCTCTTTCCTTCTCAATAGTTACACCCTATCCTGGGTCATATTCCTCCAGATATTCTGGGCTCTTTATGTTCCTGGAGCCCAGATGTTTCCATAGCAGACATTTGCTTGTTTTCCCATTAGCTTTGGAAGTTCACCCCAGTAGAATGGCTCTTCTCTGCTTCCTTCAGTGTTATCTCATGGTCTTCCTTCAGACCCATTCCTCCAAAGGTCATGCTTAGAATGGGCATGTTTTAACTTGCTTGTTTCTTCTCTGAGGAAAGTATTTTCAAGGAGCTGCAGTGACTTTTTCTCTGTCAGAAATCTTCAAAGGCAGCACTTATCCAAAGTGTCCTCATCTGCTGCTCTCAGCAATGTGCTCTCTGGCCCTTAGGGGTCTGGATTGCTGCAAGGCAGAACATGTAATTTTCAAAATTGTTATGTCCAGGATGTGCATGATTAGGTTTCTTTAGCACTATGTATTTTGTGAAAGTACTGCAAGATCAATCAAATATATATACAAAACAAGTAAATAATAACTTTGAACATATAAGAGACATATCTAGGTCTCTTCCACTTTTTTCCACAGATTTTTGGGTAGTTTCTACTCTGCCATAGAAATTACCTGTCTCCTTTTCTTTAGATACTGCCAATACTTAATGTCATGCATTGTCTGGATGAATGCCATACTTTACACAAAGAGGAATTGTGTTTACTTCAGACAAAACAGTAATTTTTTGGCTAAATATCAGACATTACAAAGAAATTAAAAAACTGCTGGGGAGTGCAAGAGACATACTGACAAACTAATAATAAATAAATATATAATCACCCAGTTAAAAAAAAAGTAATTTGTGTTTTGTCCCAGATTCAGAAAAGACACATAATACAAAAAGCTGTCACTAGGATGTTATCAACTCCTCTGAATTTACTTTTATAACATTTCAGATAAGAAACTGACTTTGGTCTGCAACAGTAGAAAATAAACATTTAAAGTGACAGAAAAGCAACTATTTGAAGGTGTATTAATTAGTATGTTACATGTCTTAATTCATATTAAGATATTCTGCAGATATTCTTTTAACTGATTTAAGAATTTGACAGGAAATACACTATTATTTCAAAATGGCACATTCGGAATCTTGTTCAGATCTTGTTCAGAGGACCTCTCATGCCTTGATAGCATCGTTTGCCATTTTCAAAATCAAAAATCTGTTCTGTGAAGAGCACTGAGACAGTATATCCTTGCTCTTAGCTGGGGTCAATTGTTCTTACTTCAGTTCTCTGGGCTCCTCTTTAGTAGCTCCAGCAGAAGCTTTTCAAATTTCCTGGGAATTCAGTCCATATCTGAGCAAAAGAACTCTTCCTTTCCCTCACAGGTGCTTCAGTAGAATAAGTAGAGTGCATTTTAAGTCACTTAGATCACTAGCATTTCTCTTAATTCCTGTTGTTTGGACTGGGGCTTTTAATTGCAGTGCAAGCAAGAAATATTTTCTGAAAGCTAGAACAACTGCCGTCTTGATTCTTTTTTTTTTTATTATTTTTTTAATCCCAGAAGAAACAGCATGAGCTCCTCATAGACTTTGTCTCTAATTTCTAAGACAGCTGAGAAGCATTACAGATTCTACCATTATACAGATACCTTTCTTAGGAAACTTTTTGTAGGGCAAGTTTATTCTTGCATCAATGAATCATACGGTCATGTCAAAACACAATTTAAATTATGGCAGTTTGCATAATACATCTATGCAAGAGTTACAAAATAATTAAAATACTTCAGACTACTAAGATCACACCACTGCAATGCAAGACTCCACCTGAATTACCTATGTCACACTTTCTGTTGGCAATCTATTTCCTTTTCCTTTTGTCCTAAGTTTCTCGGATATCTCATTCACCCGACAGGTTTTTATATACCCTATCTTCTTTGGCTCTAAGAGATGAACAGTCATTAATACTGGAGGTCTCATTAGCGTTTAAAGAAAATCTGTTTCAACATGTATCACCTGTAAGAAGTTCCATTTTAATTCAGTACCCTAAGATGATCAGCCTTTATTTCTGTTCAATAATCATCACACAGATGGCGAAGCAGTTCTCTTTTGGGAGCTCCTACTGTAGCCATTTAAGTCTTACTGAATTTCCATTAGCAAGTTCCATGTTCAACTCTAGAGGTGCAAACTCACCTGTTCAGTCGTTCATTTCAGATTTTGTTCCCTGAGGCAGAAGAATGAATTACCTCAATGAAATACTGTAGCAGCTGAGCTGTAATTTCTCATTTTAAATAAGAGCACAGAATATGAGCACAGAATCCTTATTGGCATAAATTTTATTTAAGATATTTGGGCTGTACTGATTTATTGAGACACTGAAGATGTGTCTCAAAGGCATTACTCCTTCACCTATATTTTAACTTTCTTCTTTTTTCTCTTCTAGGGCAACAGGCTTTGGCTTTTTGAATGCACTATGCAAAGCTGCAGCTGTACTTGGAAACCTAATATTCGGTTCCCTTGTTGGTATCACCAAAGCAATCCCTATTCTCCTTGCTTCTACTGTTCTTGTATGTGGAGGTCTGGTAGGACTTCGGCTTCCTGATACAAGAACCCAGGTGTTGATGTAACTGGAAGAAACATTCACTATTTATTTCCCTCTTTGTACAAATGTCAATTCTCCTGACTGATAGTGCAAAGGCTTCAGATTTTCAACACACAGTAGAGTGCTCAAATGTCAGAAATCAAACTCAAAGGATACTTTAGAATAGCAGAGATTTAACAACCTCTGCATGAAAGTTTTAAATTTCGCTTTTGTTTGCTTGCATACCTTGCTATTCAAACCCATTTCACTTCAAAGTGCAAAGCTACCTCTTAAAACAGTTTTGGTGACATACCCAGGAAGGTAAAAACCATACTGATAATTAGATAATTAAAATGCAAGCAGTCAGATTATTTCAAAAACACACGCTAAATTTGGCCATGGCATTGTGAGCTTTATAGCAGTACAGACATGCAAGTCAATTACTTAGCAGTATTGGTGCAGGGAATGTTAATGTATCAATGCATGCAGCATTTATCAGGAAACTCAACTGATCACATCAGTACTGGGAACAGTGACCTTCTGCAGCTGTGCTTAGGTGGCAAAAACTCGTGGCAAAGACTCTTTCTTGGGAAACATTTTTAGGCAGATTCAGTCCAAGTAAAGATTACCAACTACACCCCATACTGGCTGGGGAGAAGGCAACAGCTACTGCAGGGAGTTTAGAAGTCCATACAAGTATGCAGCAGAGAGAATAACAAAAATTAACATTTTCACTTTTTGCCTCTGATGTTCCAGAAAAATTTTGTTTTATTCTCACTTGTGGCATCTGGGATATTTTTTCATTTAAAACAGTGAATTTGTCTTGTTCCAGGAATGAATGAATGCAAATAGTTTTGTTGTTAGTATGACTGAAGTTAGAATCAGGCCATTGAACTATATGATAGGGAAGATACTTTCAGAGTGGAATTTATATATATAAAGGCCTTCTTTTTTTTCATATTTTCTACACTTTTTAACAAAACCATTTTCTCAGCTAATTTTTAATAGTTCCAGAAATGTCTGACCACTTAATATTTTTACATGTCTCTTTGAAAAGCTGCTAAGAAATCAGCTATGGCAAGGCTGCAGGGAGTGGTAATGTTTTCATTAGACCAAGTGCATAGATGGAAAGCAAATGGTAGTAAATACATTTCTTCTATGCTGTGGACCGTTCTGATTACTGCAAAATTCCCCATCAGTCCTAATGGTATGCAAAAGGTTATGGGATCTCTAAAATATCAGCATTACCAATGTAATACAGATACATTTATAAAATTATCAAAGAAAAGAGGAATGTTTCTGATGGCAGAAAGTGGCATTGCTTTCAGTGCAGCTAAGACAGCTGATAAACTGTCTGCAGATTCAAGTGTCAAATAACAAATTTTCTATAAAACATGTGGAAAATTTTATTCACTATTTTTTTTCTGATTTTGTCTGACAGCATTTATTAGGTAAATGAATCACTGCCAAGGAACTAAGCTCTCAAATAAGGTCACCATATAGTAAGCTAGAGTTTTTTTCATTGATTTTTCTCTTGCTCTTAGATGTGAACTTGGTTTTGGGCAGTAATATCTGACCCTGCCATCTTCTTAAGTCATCATCTTTGTCATATTAAAATAATCAGTTAAAGTCTACATAAGAAGATGATTCAACACATTTATAATTCACCGTTTAAGCTACTGATTCTAGAAGTGACATATTCAGTTACTAACAAATGTCTCTGCTACACATTGTAGCAGAAAAAATGTTAGCCCAAGGTGTTATTTTCTCCTATGAAATGAGAAAATTGACAGAATTAAAAAAGCATGAGTATGGAAAACTAGGGGGCATTTTTTTTATGTTGATCATTTAAATATGCTGTAGTAAGAAAAAAGTAAGTTTAGCAAGTGTGTTTATTTTGGAGGGTTAAAATGAAGATATTTGAGATGAAATATTTTATGTTTAAATCTGACTTAGACATGTCTCTTAAATTTCTAAACTATGCTAATAAATGAAGAAGAATTCTTTTTCACTAAGTTCTGGAACAAAATTCTGGCCTTAGTTTTGCATCTGTGGCTTTTGTCCACTAGTCATAGCCTTTATGTTATTTTAAGGCTGTTTTCTACAATTAATATTGTATTTGAGCCCTTTTTCTCTGTGCAATTCCTTAGTAGCACATGTTCAACTCCTCTCAGATACAAGACTTCATACCTTCTGACCAGCTTGAAGGAAATGGGTCACAGAAAAATAATATTCAGATTTTGAGGGCTATGATTCAAGTTTAACACTAAAAATCTCATGACATGATTTCAGATGATTTTATGTTGATTTCGGTGTTGTTCTTATTGTAAATCCTGCCTGCATCATAGGTCTGTGATTAAGTCTGGATGAAATGGAATATTGCAACAACAGGAATTATCAGAGATTTTAAAAAATGGACTCTGCATGGTCCAGAATTAAAATATTCTCTGGTAGAAAAAAAGAAAAAAGAATAGTGGGTAGGATCTGGGAGAATAAGTAAGTGAAAGAAAAAACCCGAGAACAATTCCAACACAGGAAACAAAACCTAAAGTTAGAATTTTCCTAGATGGTAAGCTAGCTGGATCAACAGATTTGAGCTGGTGTGCAAGCCACTATTAAAGTTGTTTGAACAATCAATAATTTTTGATTGAGCACAGTAAAGATTTCTCTCATAAAGACAAAAAAATGAATGCAATTTCATGCTATAAATAATTTGGTGAGATAGGTGAAATCCACAGACTGCGACAGAAGTCTATGGAGATCTGGGCACAAATGTTACTCACATTATAAGCAAAAGTAATTTAACCAGTCTTCAACAAATCTGTCTTGTCTTGCAGCCTCCAAAGCAATCACAGGTAATAAATATTAAATGGAAGGACCTGCACTTCCTTTCTATGTCTATTCACTTACATGTCACACAAAGAAGCACCTAGTGGCATGGCTACATTCCTAATACACCAGAGAGAAGCAAACTTGATCACTTTTGTGTTTTACAGTTCTAAAACATATGTAATCAAAACTGCTTATTTTTATGCCACAGAACTGACTGACTGCTAGCTAGAAATCCCTGTCAGTCTAAACTGAAGTAGGATATAACATCTAGGAATTTTCTTTGCAGATGAAAAGCTCATCCCAGCAGCAGCAATGACAAAAAACACAATGGCCCCTGAAAACACTGACCACTCACAGCATTTAGAATGCTGTTAACCATGATGATCAACTCTTTTGAAATCTGGAAACTGTCCAGAAAAGAGACCGCATGTTTTCATTTTTGGCAAGGAAATTTTATTCAAAGTAGTTTTACTCTTAAAGTTTGTCTAATAGTAGACCTCAACTTGGCAGACTCTAATTTCTTGAAACCATCTTATTCATCATGTTAGTATGCTTTAGCCAACTTGATTATACCCATGCTGCCACCCTGTTGCTTGGAAGTTTGCACTACGACATTTGGCAACCTTTGCACTGGTTGTTGAGTACAGGCTCCTGGGAAGGGAACCAGGAATAGGTGTTCACAGAGGAGTGCCAAATAGGATTGGTAATGAGTGAGGTACTGGGAAACCTTCTTCCTCTATGCTTGATTTTAACCAGTTCTCCTACAGAGTTGTGTACTAGAAAAGTTGGGCACTGATGAAAAAGAGTTAGCCCTCCTTCCTGATGGCTCTAGTAATCTAGTCCTCCTTTATCGTTTTAGGAATATGGGTCAAAGTTAAGGTTGCTAACTCAAGCTCTGCTTGCTTTCTCTTCCTGCCATTCCATGCATTCCATCCCAAATTACTTTTCTTACTAGGGGACCAGCCTTAAAGAGAGTCAAAACTCTTTCACCCAATTCTGACTTCCCAGGAACATTCAGTAAGAAATTTTGTTATATATCTTTTTTGTTTCAGTTATAACTTTATAAAACAATATGGAACGCAGCCTTAGAAGTCCTTCTGTTTGTGAATCTCACCTTTTGAGACAGCCAGACTCCACGTTTCCCTACCTTTCGAGAAGGCTGACCTAATACAAGGAGAGGTGTCCTCTCAGAAAGGCCCCTGATGACCTTCTGAATTGAGGGAATCATCTTGCCTGTGCACCTAGCTCAGCTCCATTCAGAGGTAGTTATATTCTGTATTCTTTTTTCTACCACTATGGAGCTTTATCTTTGAGTAACTGCTCTCGAGGCACAATGGTGGATACCAATTCTCAGCAAAGTAATATAGTCCTCTGTCACTCATATGGACAGCCTCTGTGTGCTAGCCTTTAGTTCTCTTCCCCATTCTGAGTTTTAAATTAATCTTCATTAGTCAGAGAAAGCTGTTTATATCCAGTCGCACCTCCTTACCTAAACAAGATGATATCATGCTAATACAGCCTACAAGCCATGTTTCCTGTTTAATAACCTGGAAATGCAATTGAAATTTCAATCACAATGTTAAAAAATGAATCCTTGCTCTCAGGGGGTCAAAGACACAAGAAGTGAAAACAGAAATTCTCTGCTTCCTCTGGTGTTTTGAAAGAAAACACATGTTCAGTAATCATATTCCAGAAGAAAACACATCTGAGAGACTGCTTTTCTGTTATTTCCTGCCTTCTTGTTCATTAAACTTACTGTAAAATATTATGTATTTGCCTGCATTAGTACTTTCAAATGCTGCTAGTTGAGAAAACACAGCATGAAAATACAGACCTTTGCTTGTACTTTCAAGCTAAGACATGGTTCAGGCAATGATGTGGAATTAGAAGAGACATGTTAGCCAGAAATCTGGAACTTTGTTCAAAACCTGAATTAAATAGAAAGCATCAACTTATAATGCTCCTTGCAGATCTCACCTTCATTTAACCTCACATAGTCTACAACTAGTCCATGTTCTTCTATCAGGTTCATTTGCTTTCTTCTAGTAATTTCAACAAGTGCTGCAAAATATATTTGCATTTGCTCTCATTAGCTGGAGATATATATGTATATATTTATTTTTTTTTTTAGAGTAAATTTCCTATTTCCTCCTGCAAAGGAAGGACCCTCCAACATTTAGTCCCAGTCTAGCTGTAGAAGATTGTTATAAGAATTTCATCCATTTTCAGGGCCTGTTTTTTAATGCACTGGCTTGGTATGTACAAAGCAGAAAAAAAAAAAAAGATAAATTTGACCTGATTTATTTACTTTTCTTATAATAGGACCAAAACACTTAGGGAAAAGTACAGTGCTCTCTAGGGCAAACAATCTATTCTCTTTGACAAAGATCTAGAACGTATTGCTCGCTTTGGACCAGCACACAGTCCGATAACCAAAGATTGGGGATTACTTAACAACAGAAGTATTTGGGTGAGGATGACCTGACATGAAAGTATTGTTCTTTCCAGGCAGGATACTCATGAATATACATTTTAATGCCACATAACCAAGATGATTTGTGGAGACCTTGCCCCTACTGTGGCCATCAGCACATTTGAGTTGTAGCCAGACACATGAGTCCACAAGTGAGAGAGAAAGTGAGAAGGAGCTGGCAGGCACTTTCAGCAGTCTTTCCACAGCTAACCTCCTAAACTCATTTCTCTTGGATCCTAAGAATATGGTTTTTTGCTTAGTTTTCTACTTTCTAATTTTGGACATCAACGACTTGCCATTCAGTTTTCACCAGTAGTTGTGATGAAGCAAGCTTAAACCACTTGAGTGTTAGAGGACAGCACATAGCTCATTGCCAGTAGAGTACTCTGCAAGAGTCCAGTGTCGTATGTGCTGTTCCAGTTTCATTTGTTGCCAAGCACTAGAGTTGTCGGCTAGCACTTCTCTTGTAAAATTCTGCATGTAATCTTATCTATAAGACATGTCTTCTATCCTCTTAATGTCTGCCTTGTATGACCATATGTATGCCCATCCCCCACTGGCTATGTGATAAAAATATTTTGTGAATCTTACATGGGTCTGTCTTACCCAGCTAAAAGGTGATCCTTCAAAAGAAGAGGGTTGAGAAAAATAATGAAATGGAATCAATTTAAATGTAAACAGTGAAGAGTAATAGTTCAAGGTATAGGCCTCAATTATTTTTATTTTTTCAGATGTTTTCTTCAAGTCCTAGCCTGAAGCTATATAATACTGTATATTGTAAAGAAATAGTACACAGTTAGAAGTGAACACATGTGCAGACATATATGAGTATACACACATATGGACACACCTCTGTAACACAGATGAATGTTAAATTTACAAACCATGTTCTTGTCTCTTTCTCCGTGACAGTGTTGCTTTCTTCATTGTGCATTATTCTTTGAACACAAATAACATTCTGCTCCATTCCTTGTGCAGAAACCTTTACTTATTCATGTGCAAAACTGTTGGGATGCCAAGAGTCATCTCAATTAGCCATTAGCTTCCAGTCATCAGACGGGGATTCCTAAAATGGTCTGAAAAATGAGCTCTGACTTAGCTGTTGCCTTCCCCTGCCTGCCCACCCCACCCACCTGCCCCATCACACTGTGCCAAACAGCAAAGCAGCACATCATGCAAAGGCACTGGTGTTCCAGTGACTAGGAGAAACAGCACTCTCAGATTATACATAACTCCTAAAAGCTATGAATTTTGTCTTATTCAACCAAAAGGCCTTCAAAATGGTCCATGGGGATATCAACATGCTAACTTCTGTGTAATGTATGAGAAAATGTCTGTGATTTTCTGTATTGTATGTTTTTCATTGTTTTTGCTTATATGGCTGCTGTTGTTCTAGTGATGTGGTTAAAAAATTATTTGCTACTGTTCTTATCAGCAATTTTTGACCAGCCTGAAAGACCAGAGCCATTGCCAGGGTGTTCTTCAATTAATGATTAACACCCATGAAGATCTTCTACAGTAATTAGTGCCATATAAAGTCATGCATACTATAAATCAAGCCAATCCAGGGTGAAAATGTCAGCACATACCCACAGACCAGTGACAGAAAGAGCTCTTCCAAAAGCTCTGGCATCTGCTACATGTCTTCTTTGCTCTTTTCAGGATGTTCACTCTCTGCAGTATTCTTCCTCTGGCAGTGGACACGCACTTATGCTGCAGAAGGAAGAAAGCAGAAGAAAGGGCGTATTCCTTTCTCAGGAAGGAATGTATATTTGCTATAGGAAAGCCAGCTCTATAATAAGATTAAAACAAACAAACCAACCCATGCAGCTTGCTGGTCCTTTTTATCCCCATGTCTCCTGTGAGT